GTTGGAGGAGTTTTTGTTGACAGACAGGTATTAGCCTCTGGTATATATATATATATATATATATATAGAGAGAGAGAGGGAGAGAGATAATAATCACTTAAGTGGTCTGAAATAAAATAGCTTAGCAATACTTCGGTTACTGTCTCCATGTGCTCGCTCTCAAAACAGTCTTTCATATGAAGCTCTAAACAATGAGAAACACACCAAACAGATAAATTCTGCTGTATTTGGTCATTATCTTTTAAGTTTTATAACCCTCTGCATTTCTCCCATTATAATAGCTATTCTACCTGAGCACAGTTCACTTAGTCTTCTGTTTATAGTCAGGCATACCAAAATCTTTAAAAGCTGTATCTGTGACTGCCAATATACCATCAGATTTTGTAATAGCTGGCTCATCTCAGTGCTATCAAAATGCCCTAGAGGTTGGTAAAATATGCATCCGGACCTGGCTACTTTTTGCAAAGCAACTGCTAGATATATACAATTTATAAATTTATTAATAATTTGCAATTAGATACAGTACTACTGATTTGTTTGTGACATAAATCAGCAGTAGTATCTAGTATCAGTTTTTCTGTATGCTATTTTAACTCATTTTCATTTGGTTAGTAGTCAGGATATTGATTAATTCATTTACCTCATCTAGTGTTACAGTTATGTAGAGTGGATTTTTAAATAATTTTTTTTTTGCAGGTTGTGCAGGTTTTTCTGAAACAGAATTTAAAAAAGAAACTTATAGGCAACTTTACAGGGTTTTGGTGATTTCTGAATTTTTTTAATTACCAAAATACCAATACCTACTTGTGAAGAAACAAAAAATATGTCATAAATTTTCATTTCAGAACTGGCTTTTAAAGTTTCTTCTGTGATACATCTCTGATTGAACAAATGTGAAGTTATGAAGAGAATTTCCCATTTTTCTTACCTGTAGCTCTAATACAGAGATAAAATGTGGTAAATCCCTATAGAATAGTGGAAAAAATATGATTCCCATAAAATAATATATTTTGATCCCCTCTGAATTTCAAAACATGCAAATTTTCCACAACTGACCACTCACATTGTACAGTGAATGGATATTCCACAACAACAGAAAGTGTAAGCATACATAGATCACTATTTAATTGTTTTGCTTTAGGTGAAATATTTTACACATTTATTAGATTTTATCTTGCATAGAGCTAGTAAGATTTCATCATGATAAACGAAATTGGACCAAGCTTGCTGTTTTGTTAAAATTAGTCTTGTCCAACTCTTGGAATGGCCTTGTTCTAGGCATATTTGTGATGGACTCATGTCCATATGGGACATGATAAATAGTTTTTTAATGTAATAATTTTGTTATAATTTCTTGTATTGTATGAATTTATTTTGAAACAAGTTTTTAAATTTAATGTTGCACTGAATTTAAGGTTTAGCTGTCCTGAAAATGCTTAAAAACTTTCAGTATGTGGGACAAACCAATACAACTGCAAGAGAATGTTATAACTATCACAAATCTTTAACATATAGCTTGACATCTTTCCATTCATTTTGGGCCTGATCACTATTACAGCAGGCCCGGCATGGCCAGGTGGATAAGGCGCTCGACTCACAATCTGAGGGTCGCGGGTTCGAATCCGCATACCACCAAACATGCTCGCCCTTTCAGCCGGGGGGACGTTATAATGTGACGGTCAATCCCATTATTCATTGGTAAAAGAGTAGCCCAAGAGTTGGCGGTGGGTGGTGATGACTAGCTGCCTTCCCTCTAGTCTTACACTGCTAAATTAGGGACGGCTAGCGCAGATAGCCCTCGTGTAGCTTTGCGCGAAATTCAAAAACAAACAAACTATTACAGCAAGCATTTTATATCACCATGAACAAGAGGTACTGTCTTTTTGACCCATGATGGAGAAGGACCATGAACTCCCTCTTCTTTTAAAATATACCTTTTCACTTAAAATAATAATGACAGCTCCATCTTCAGAAATTTTATTTTTGGGTAAATAATTATCAAGCAGTCTAACATCATAAGTTTTTTTCAGAATGAAATTTATATGTTGAAACATCACACAATGGGTACTTTGGTATGCAGTGAATTGTGTAAATCTGATTTTAGATCATTGAATATTATACCTGTAATATTACTAATGAATTGTGTATGTGCTTTCTCATTAGAATATGCATCTTCTAGAGAAATCTTATTCATGCATACTCTGTAACTTACAAAAAACTGTAACTGGAAAAAACAATGAATGATTTGTTACTGATAGCAATATAATAAGTTTTTCCATCTTTTCCATTACATTTTCATCAATTTTCATAAACCATTCTTCAATAGATGTAGGTTCATTGCCTTGCAGCTTTTTTGCTTACTGTTCTCCTGGCATACTCTTTCTGGAAATGTGTACAGCTGGTTACAAACTGAAAATATAAATATGAAATGGTACTTAGATATTATTTGAACTTGTGTAAGTAAAATGTACCTTATTTAAACATTTATTAATTTAGGTATTACCAAAAAAGCTACTTCAATTTTTTTAACTGTACTTAAGATCATTGTATACAGGATAATGAAATTGTCTATATTCATAATAGGCTTTTGGGGTTTCACTTGGACCTTGAATGCATGATTTTGTTTTTAATGTTAGTTAAGAAAAATAGTTGTAAAAGTAAATATCTTTAGGATGGATAATGAAATTTGCATGGTGGTTTAAATGATCTGTGATGAATTAATGGCACCCTATTTCTACAACATTTCTTGCTCATTCAGTTTCTTGTCAAGTGTTGTAATGTTCAGCTCATGTTCCCATCTAAGGAGTATTTTCACAGTAGGGTTTGTGATAGTTTTGGGTTTTTAGCCTTTTTCAGTGTTAGTAGGGTTTGGATTTTCATTTTGTCATTTTAAGTATGCAGATTCTCCAGGGAAAAACAAAGTTAATTTTCTGTCCATCTTACGTGCAGTCTAAACTTTTTTTTAGATTGGTGTAACCATTTACATTAAGATAGTTTCAAATCCAACCTTGTTATTGGAAAATGGTTATGGAGTCTAAGTTAGTGTGAACTATCAATGGACACTTATTAAAAGACAGAGTAAATAGTAGTCACATGACAACCTATGTGATATTTCAACAGCCTATGCTTTGATTGATCCTATTTATGCATTCTCATTTTGTACAGTGTGTCAAGGTCATTGAAATTTAACACTGTATGAAATTGAAACAATCTATCAAACAGGCATCATTTAAAAAAGTTTTTTGTTTTTTTCATAAATTGCCTTAAATTGGTTTGAACTCAACTTTTTTACCAATGGTTGAAATTATTACTTGCATTTTTCAGTTCTCATTAGCATTTTATCAGTGCTATGTTTGAGCCCTGTCTTGGCTCATATATAAGTAATAGCTGTTAGTTCTATGGAGAGGTGAGTATCTATCTGAATTACATTTTTAATGTAAGGTAAATGTTAACTTTCTCTTCCCTTAATCTTGCACCATTGATTTGTTGAACCAGGTTTATATCTCTTAATATTTGTATTTAACAATTGCACCTTGCCTGGAATTTGTTTTTAAAACCTAACATGTGGAAGAAAAACTGAGATTTACATAAAAATTTTTTATTCTTAAAGCTCAAAAGTGCTCCTTACACCTGGTTAATGACACCTCAGTTCTGCCAATACTAACATCATTAGCTTTGACTTACACTATAAATAGTGTCCTCATTAGTTCCTGCTTTTGAATATACATTTTTTTCACCAAAACATCCTATACTTTAGCACCAAGTAAGGAAAGTTTGGTACTAGGTGAAGTTTTTCTTTGTACAATTCAGGATGGCCTCAACAAACACTTCAGGTTTCTTTCCTTTTTCACCTTAATGTGTTGCATTTTAAGACATGATGCTAATAGACTAGATAATTATTATGATGGATAATAGATAGATATAAATAACTTGATTTATTTAAACAAACCATAGTAGCTTTTGCAATAATCTGGTCAAATTCTGACTTTGGCCATTGCTAATACTTTACATTAAATGTCAGGAGCATTAATATAACAGTCTTAGCTAAATTAAAGACATCTGTACAAGATTACTAAAGCCATTGAACAATTAAGAGCTTTTTTACCCCCACCCCCATTTTCTAGTACTTAACACATATCTGTTTAATGGTCATTGACCCCAGAAGAATGCATGAAACAGCTGCAAGTATATCAAAATACTTTCCATGATGCCTCATTTGAACATTACTTTTGTCAGTATTATTACTGTTTGTTAAGACTATGATAATTATATTTCACAAGGTCTTCAGTATGGTTCACAAGAGTTAAAGAGATGAGGGAGTTATGTTGCTTTTAAGAAGTGGGATGAAAGTTCACAACAGCAGTGGTATTTCAGACTTTTGAAAACTTGTGAAGTTACTGAAGGAAAAGATAGTTTTTTATTGACATTTTTCACTGGCCTCTTGATTGTGTTAGAATAAAGAGGTTGAAAAAGCAAATTTGAGTATTTTGGGTAGTAAGTGTAAACTGTGGATGATTAGTGTCCAGATTTGTCCTCTTGTTTAGCACGTATATGTTTCTTAGTTGCAGGGCCATCTTAAGAATATTTGAGGGCTCTTACCACCACCACCCCCCCAACACATTAAAATTAAGTTTTTCAACTGGAAAATTTGTGGCCTTTTATTGCAGAAAATTGCTTTATAACTGGTTGATATTCTATGTTTTTGATGATGTTGCTTTCAATGCACATGAGGGAAAGCAGATTCAACCACTGCTGTCCCATTGTGCTGCGAAGATGATTCTTTGTAAGTTTGAACCTGGAAAATGAATGCTCCCCGATACAGTTGGTCACCACCATGTACATAAATATTCTGAATTTGATTTCAACATTGGGAAACACAAATTTCAACTTATCTGAAATGAGTTTGCTGTACATGTCCGGAAGAGTCTTGCATTTTTCGTCGTGGACGATGTAGTGCTTGCATTCATTGAGTAATTCATTGTAATCAAGATCTTCATGATAAGCATTAGCCAATTTTTCACACCTTTGACTAAGCTCATTACAGTCAATTGTTTTTAACTGACTGAAGAAGAAAAACAGATTTCCAATACTTTCGTAAGCTTCTGCATATTTAGTCAGGTGAGAGTTCAAAGAGTCCAGAATAGGAAGGTATGTTTCCATCTTGAATTTTTCACTTCCATGGAGAAGTATCTGTTCCATTGACCTATCATATCTGGTAAGATGCCCACTTTGCTTTCTTGCACGTTTGTCTCCATCACTATCTTTCGAATCTGGACACCTGCTTTTAACCTTCACTTCATACTCACCGAATTTGTCTGTAATTTCCTGAAGATAGGCTTTCAGAGACTTGAGGAGATCAGTGGCAACAAGTATGTCCACAGCTTTAGACCGCAAAATTTTAATTGTTTTGTTCACTCTTTCCAGAATCCAATGCATCTTGAATTTTCTCGAAACCTCCATGAAGAGCAGTGTCAGAGAGAAACTTGACCACAATATGATTCTTTCCCAAGGGTGACGTCAGAACATTCCAGCGATGCGTGGAAGCCAAGAAAAAGAAATACAAACGCTGATCCAAGTCAAAGAAGGAGATGATCTGTGGACCACACTCTGCCACTTTTACTCCCACCAAGTTCAGACTGTGTCCAGCACAAGGAATGTAGATAGCAAATTCATTTTGTTCATGGATCCAGTGTAGCATCCTGACATATTTGAGGCATTGTCATAAGACTGACCGCGGCAGTTTGGTAACGGAATGTTGTTCTCTTGCAGGAACTTTGCAACCGTGTCTGCAAAATTCTTTGCCCCCCGTGAGAAAAGATGGGGATGAATTTGAGGAAACGTTCTACTGGCTCACTTCCACGAATGTACCAGACAGCAAATGACAGCAATCGACACTTATTGAATAATACTTATTCTTTGATTTCTTCCAGAATTGCACAAAATACCTGTTGTCCCATTATTTCAATAAATTCTTCACAAATATTTGCTGATAGATATGATGGGTTCCCCTTTCCAGCATTTCCGTACACTTTTAAATGTTCTTCCAAAAGAGGGTCAGACTCACTCAATAGTTCTAGAATGCCAAGAAAGTTTCCATTTTTTGAGTAGTCAATAGTTTGATTCTCCCCATTAAATGCCAAACCTCTGGAGGCAAGAAAGCGGATAACAGAAACCACACGCTTTAACACTTTATACCAGTACTCCTGAACAATTTGTGAACAATGCTGACTTAGCAATGCAGAATCCACACAATCACTTTGTGCCGAATCGAATATTCCAACAGGCACCTGTGATGTTCTTCTCCATTTTCGACAATAGACGATATGGAAAGCAATACAAACAACCTTTGGATGGTGAATATAGCAGCCACTTGTGTTTTATAAACTCACCATTCCAAAGTTGAAGAAAGCGGATAACAGAAACCACATGCTTTAACACTTTATGCCAGTACTTCTTTTGTGAACAGTGCTGACTTAGCAATGCAGAATCCACACAATCACTTTGTGCCGAATCGAATGTTCCAACAGGCACCTGCGATGTTCTTCTTCATTTTCGACAATATATGACATGGAAAGCAATACAGACAACCTTTGGATGGTGAATATAGCAGCCACTCGTGTTTTATAAACTCGCCATTCCAATGTTCACGTTTGAATAATTTGTTTGTTAAATATCTTGTCACACAGCTGGAGTTTGAAAAGTCGCAATCGTGATTTTGACATTTTGTCGGCCCATTGAGAATTCAGTGGCCTACTGTAGCAGTATCTTTCGTGTTCCATAGTCCTGGATCTGTCAGAGTGTGATCGTAAATCACATTCCCATTCTCGGTTACCATTGCAGTGTTGATGTTGTATCCAAATCAGGAGCAGTAGCTTTTGCAGCAGGGGTGAACTAAGCTGATAACTTTGGAAGTTTGCTAAGTTTTCCTTTTTCCTCTGCAGTTCTTTTCCTCTTGTGTGCTCCACTAGCATATATACACTTCATTTCTGTTAAAAAAAACTATGCAAAATTATAACTTACAAAAATTAGAAATGTACATCTTGAAAACGACATGATTTTCGTGACGACCTAATGAATGTATATATTTAATATATAATTAATCATTCTATCGCTTCTAGTGTCCAATTATTTTTTCATACAAGTTTTTGGTTAGAAAGGTTGATTTGCGTGCTCGTTCAGTCGACCCAGTTACTTTACAATGAATGGGGCTAATGTGATACGCAAATGACCCTGATGAGGACAGTAATTTAAAAAACAAATGCCTAGTAACAGCACTTGCATTTAGGTGTGGTCATGCATATTCACCTTTACCATGAAATCAAGGAAGGGTGTAGCCAGTAATTTTCTTTGGGGTTGCCAATTCTTTGAGGGTTTCTGGTTTGGGGAAAAATATAAATGAGGAAACATTTATATTACCTTGGCTGCACCATGCATGCGTATAACAGACTGCATCCCTGGTGGAGTCCGGGGGCAAAGCCCTGTTATGAGTCCAGGAAGCTCCTCAAATGTTATGAATTGAAAGCCAAAAACTTGCCAAAAATTGACCCATTATGTCCTGAGCTTTAACCTGGGCCTATACCGAATATTATATGATTTACAAATGAATTTTTTAAAAATATTTGTGTACAGAAGTCATAATGACAATTGTACCTTATTTTAAAGCTTATAACTTAAGCTTTCTATAAATATCAATTTCATGCTAATTTGCATGATATTTGTATGCAAATTAGGTGATTTTTTGAGAGTGGTGGTTTTTTAATGAAAATTTGTTTTTTGGCTCAAAAAAGTTGAATGAAATTCACTCCTTGGGCCTAACATGATGTGGAATGAACATTTATTCACTTATTTAGTAGTTATATGGTATAATTTGAGCGTATTTTGAACATTTTTGATCAACAAAACCGTAAATGACTCGGTGTGTAAACAAGTAGGTAAGTCTAAGATCTGTTTACTGTACAAATGTATGTTAGGCTAATGAGCCTAATGTTAGAATGCTTTGAACAGACTAATGTATCGTTTTTTATTTTATTTTCGATTTAACTTTATAATCATTAATATTATTTTAAGAAATTGTTTTTTTTACTTGGCTGGACAGTACAGTACCCAAACAAGTAACAACTAAAATTTTAATGATATTTACCGTATCTTCTGGCTGATCTTGAACCATGCCATGGGAGAAATTTCAGGTTGCTGAAACATTTTGGTATTTTTGCTAATAATTAAGCCATGGAGTAATAACACTGGCTGAGGTGGCACTATTTGTTTATTATATATCAGCTGCATACTCTGAGCTGTTTGAAAGCTCATTCAACTTTAAACAACTCTTGAACATTTGCATTAAGACTGCTTGTGTTGTATTACACGTATATAAAAATGCAAAAACACGTTTACAAAAAGTACTGGAGTGCTGCACTGTTGCTGTGCTGGCCAGGTAAGGAGGCCCCGATCTCACATTAACACTATTGCTGTTTTATAATATGAACTTTAATTTTTAAATTGAATCTCTGGGTCCCCGGGCAACTGCCCAATGTGTCCATGTGATAAGATGGCCCTACTTAGTTGATATTTTTATCTCTGATTATAAAAACAAAATTGTTCAAAAAAAGTATTCCCGTAGATTGGTGTTATTTAAAATAATATAGAACAGTATGCTTTTTAGAGATTATTTTTTACCATCTGCATATACAATAATAATTTTGGATGAATGGTTAAGCCATGTGTTGTGCTTGAAAAAGTGAAACTAAAATATCCCAGAGCAATGAAACAAAAGAACAAAAAAAAATTAACTAACAAAGAATATCCATTTTAGTACTAAAAAATACCATTTGTGAAAAATGCATCAAAAACCTTGGTGAGCATTATAGGAAAGCTCCAGTTTTATATACTATAATATAACTATAACTTTGTTTTGGGTGAAGTGAAATAATTTTATCATAATTTATATTAACTGCATCTCAGACATGTATGTGTATATATTATCAGTTTGTATAGAAATGGCACCAGCTGTCCAGGCTCCTGTTGATAAACCACAAGAGGATGATGTTTCTGTGAGTGAAGGTCCCTCTCACATTAACTTTCTTGTAGCAGATGATTCAAATAACAGTTCTGGAAGTGATGATGAAGGACCAGCACAGAATGGTTATGAACTTTTACCACAAGATATTGGTGAAAATGGAACTGATCATGACTTACATCAAGATGAAGAAGTAAGAATATATTTAGTAGCTTGAACTGTTGTACCATAACAGGAAAATAACTGAATAATATTTCTCCTATGTGATGAAGATTTACATAAAACACTTTATTTGTTGTAACAACCAACAATTCAGAGTAATTTTTTGTTTTTTTGTTGATTGGTTTTACTGATTTTCAGGTCTACATAAAGTGGAAAAACCTGTAATTTTCATTTAAAGGTTGTTACATGTACATGTAGCTCACTTACAATAAAAGCAGCTATGTTAAACTACATGCATAATTATAACACACAAGTTGTGGTGTTTCAAGGTGTAATGTTAAACCATATGAGCACTTTTTGTGTTATCAAGTGCTACAGGCACAGGTATGATGTAACTTTCATCATACAATGGAAATTTCCATAAAGTGAATCTTATTCAGGTACAAAATGGGAAAAGTGAAAAGTATATTTTAGGAAAGCATTAGTGTTTATCATTATTTTAACTTCATAGGGTATGTTATAGCTTTACTTAGTGCTATATCAAAAATATTAACGCAAAGTCTGAAATTTTTATAAAAGCTATTGTGTGAAGTAGGATGATAGTTTGGAACAAGGGTCATGTTAATGAAGGGTTCACAACCTCCCTTCACCTGCCATTATTGCTCTTATAGAGGATTTATTATTTTCAACATAAGTTAACGTTAACAACATTCATAGATGTGTCACTTCCCTACACCAAACAGAAAAAAAACTTTATTAAATTTTCTATAATATAACATAAACACAGTGTGGGGGGAGGGCACACAAATGTCTTATATATCTAAAAGAGTGCTATAGCACTCTCTATGGAGGGATGCAATGAAAAAAAATGGCTGCCACTATTATAACAACACATAAACTCAGCTGAAGTTTCTACTCCAACAGCCACGATAAGGCTGATTTGAAGAGCTGTTTTTTGAGTTATACCAACTTTCTACTTTGACCCATGACCTTTCAGCTCTGTACCTCTTCCTACAAAGTCACCCTGACCATTGCACAGTATATACCATGTTTAAAGTCTATACATATTGACTTCTTGAAGCTTATACAAAACTTTTGGTGTGGTAATAATTAATACTGTAAAATGTTGTGCTATAAATATATTTTGTGGAAGTTAGGATTTTTGTATTATCACAGCATCCACCCACACATTTATTTAAGTTCATAACTTAGACAAAAGATGGGTATCTCAGCTTGTAATATGTAAATCAGAGTATTTAATATTATACTACATTTAAATACTAAGTTTTGACAAGGTACCTTACTTCTGCTTGCATACATAGCTATTCTTGTTCACTGCTGTTCTCTATTTGCAAAATTTTCTTTGCATGCCACAAGCCTTTCATTCCTATGCACCCTTTGATTCACATGGCTTAACTGATTCTCATATGCAAATTATCATGTGACAAACCTCCACCAATAATAGTGCTACACACCCACATGACTCCTGTGCTATTCTACCTAACTATCCCTTTTGTGTTTGGCTGTGCTTGTGTTCAGATGTTTAGATTTTTCCTCCATCAAGATTCTTTTTTTTTTCAAAATCTTTGTATCAATTTTTCTCAACAAGTTTACCATGTATTATACAATAGGGGTATTTATAACATATTCTGAAGTGGAATTATTTTATATTTCTACCCAGTTCAGAGTTTATATCTTATATCTTCTGTCAGCACATTTACACAGTCTTCAGGTAGTGGTCCTCGACTGTGGAATTATCGGCTTTACTTCGTTGGGAGAATGATTGGTCAATGAGTTGACCTTCGTTGGCTCTCAACTCAAGTTTGGGGGCCCACACATTTTGAAACACAGTCTGCTGACTTCGGAAATATTAAATGTTAAACTGTTATGATTTTTGAATATTTTTACTGTTAATATTATTATTTGTAGTTACTTGGGTTCAATAACATAATTTTAGTAAGTTTTGTAAAGTTCAGGTTTAAAATTAGAGCTTAGTTGTATCCTTTTTTCTATAACGTTAGATTAGGCTTACCATTGTTCTTTGTTATTTTAGGATTACCTATAATTTGTCTTACTGGTATATCATAAATTAGGTTAACTGTATGGTGTTTCTTCAAAACAGCACATCTCATTCATATGTTACTGTCAATATGCACTTAATTTTGAAATATAACGTCTATTTTATTTTTTGTTATTATTTATTACTTATACTTCATATTAAATTGCTGGGGTCTGCACAAACTTCTCCTGATATTGTTATGGCAGAGTTTTTAAATTACTGCTTAGTTATATACTTTGTCCTGCACAGTTTGATTAGACTTAACAAGTGTCTGTTATTTTCCTGTTGTTCATCTTATGGGTAAATTTATAATTAGGTTAAATATCTTGTTTTCTTATACACATAATATCTAATACATTAGGTTAAATATCTTGTTCTCTTTTACACATAATATCTAATACATATGTTTATTTCACTACACACTTATTTAAATTAACATCATATCAAGTATTTCATTTTTGTAATTCTTTATAATTTACACTTCTTATTTTTAATTTAGTATGTGAGGACCTCTGGGGGCCAGGGTCCATCCTACATTCTCCCAATATTGCTCACCTTCCTCCTACAACTGCCAAAACTGTTTAGCCTTTAGGATGACCAAGATTTTGTCAGTTTTCCTCCACCTAATTATGTCTTGCTTTCCCAGGCCTAGACGTGTTTCACAGTATAATTTTCCCCCTCTTTTTCCAGACATTGTTTCATGATGAGCATTTTTGTCTCTATTTCGGGAGAGGGTATTTGCATGCTTTACCCTACACAGGCTTTAGTTCATTTTGCCTTAGCTTGCCATCAGGTAGATTTTCTTCTTGATTCCATGTACTTAGAATCTCTGTCACCTGTATGAGGGGGCAGTCTCTCTTAATCATATTCATTTTATACCCCACCTAGTTTTTCAGCTTCATTTTACCCTATTGACTCTCCTACAGGAAATGTCTACTTTACACCTCCTTTCTTAGGCATTCCACCTATATCTAAAAGATTTTTGTAGGATACCTCCTCTTGCTTCCCTCCATGTTGGGGCATTTGCCATCTTTGTTTCTTTCCCTGGCTTCTTTGCTTTTTGGATCTTCTGGGGTGGGACAATGTTTTGTACTGTTTGTTTACCATCCACTTCTAATAGGGACTTAGATCAGTTCTTTTTCTCCACTGGTACATTTTTTGGGGGCTACTCCTTCACATTTAGCATCATGTGGGGTATCTGAAATGCTATAGTCAATTTTTTTGGTTGCCATTTTGTTTTATTTTGAACTATTGCCATCTTTATTCATGTTTTATGTTCAACACCTTCCCATTCTTTTCCTGTCCTACCTATGGGCTACTCCACTTGTTGTGGATGCTTGATGCTGATTGGAGTTCTGGATCAGTCGTTCCTATCTCAATCACTTCTTGGTTTATCCTTGTTTAAATATATTGTCTTTGATCACAATCAGGTGGGTCATTTTTGCAGGACTGAGAATGCCCTTAGGACACATTCTTATTTTCCATTTCTTGGGACGCTATCTTAGGTTTTTTTACACATGATTCAGTATCAGTTTCATGCCTTGCCTTTCGAACTTATTTTGGTTCCATATGTATTATATCAGGTGGTCTGCATTTTACCTAACTTCTGCACGTTGGGGGATTTTAAATAACACCACTACTTGTTACTTACCTAACAATCTTGTCTATTTGATGAGTGTCTTTTTAAACATCCACCTCCATCGAGACCTTCCATTCTCCTCTTTGAATGCATTCAATGGACCTTTTTGTTATCCAATCCATTATGGTTAACTTTCTTACTGCTAGAGAGGTTCTAACACATTGGGGGGAATTTGGCTTCAATGGAATCACTTCTCCCTTTGGACCTAGCACATTTGGTGTTCTTTTGGATTCTGCTCTTAACTTTCATTCTTCCCTCTTTCACTATATGTGTTGATGGTTGAACATATCCCCCACCTCGTTGAGTTTACTGCTTCCTCTCCCTTGTCTGTATTTGTTTCTTTTCCTTAACGCTCATCTCTAAAGTTGGAGTGCATGGGTCAATAGGCAGGAGGCTTCAGGACAATGGTTTACAGATCAAAAGTCTTACCATGTTAACACCCTGGCAGTCCAATGTGTTTTAGTTCACTTTCTTCCTCTTGTCTGAATTTGACTAATCCTGTTTCATTCTAACTATTTAACTGTGGTGCATTATATCACTCACCTCATTCTTGTTTCCATTGTGGTAGATAGTGGATCTCTTTTTTTGAATCCACACACTTGAAATACATCTCCTGGTGTGTCGTGTTCTAGAGGCTTTTGTCCTTGTTGCAGATTGTCTTTCCAGTCCTGACACACTTTCTCCCAAGGAGTAGTCTGTCAATCCTCAAATTTTCAGTGACTCTGTCTTCTGTGGAGTACTCCTCTGTGGGAAGAGTTTAACTCCTTTCTCAATTCCAAGTTACTTCATTTGTTCTTGGTCTCTGGTTCTTCAACCACTTGCCCTGGCTGTCGATACACACAAACAGGATTAGATCCAGTTTATAACTTTGATTTTTTCTCATTCTGTCAGTCTTCTTCCCAAGGTGATTTTGGTCATCCGTGTCACTCTGGGTCAGATCTTTCTAATTGATATTTCCTGGCTGACACAGATATGATTTTCTTGGCTGTTTTGGCTCGATATGTTTTTTTGTTCTGAATAGATTTTACTAACCTACACTTTGGGGGCTAATGTGGAATATTCTTTTCATCATTTTTGTTTCATCTTCCACCTTTATTCTCAGCCGGATCTGGATGACCTTCTCTGTCCCATACATGCTCTGGATTACTTCATTGCCTTCAAGGCTTCTTTCCATTGATTCCATTTCCGACAGTTTCATTCACTTCCACCTCTCCTCTGTTCATGATTTTTCTCTTCCTTCCTTACCCATTTGGTTTGGGTTGTGATTTGATTGGCTTTTTATTCCTTGTCTCCTTCTTCATGTAATCAATTCCTGGTGTCTTCGCTCTGATCA